AGCTGCTGGATTCCAGAATTTGGACAAGGGAGTACATATTTGCACTCTTCTACAACTTTAGATTTATCAGTTTTCAAGAAGAAAGAGAGGCAGGGGAAATGTCACCATCTGGAACTTCCCTCAATGGCATATAACAAGAAAACAATCACTGCTACAGTACAGGAACTACCAAAATTTCTAGAGCAAAAGGGAACAGAAAAGATACATGTTTGACAACACCAAGGAAGAGCATACACAAGGTGTGATCAAAATACGTGGTGAATGTTTAAATGTTTAAAAAGAAACATTGCTACTAACTCCCCCTCCAAATACTCACTTCCAACTCACTTGTCCCCTAAGTCTTGTCACTTTTTGAAGCAGTTCTGGAAGTCGACTTTCCTAGGTGTCTTCACAGGGTGTGATCAAAAACGTAGTGAATATTGCTCCAAGTGCCATCCAACGGAAAGGCAGGCTCACAAAAGCATTACACGGTGGCCTCATCCACCTTACGCACCAGATGTGGCACTGTGCAACTTCCAGCTCTTCCCCAAAGTTAAAATGACCATGAAAGGTAAATGAAGCCAGTCATGGTGGTGCATGCCTGTAATCCCAGCAGTTGGGAGGCTGAGGCAGGAGGATCATTGTGAGTTCAAAGCCAGCCTGGGTTCCATAGTGAATACAAGCCCAGCCTGAACTACATAGGGAGAACCTGTCTCAAAAAAGCAAAAGAAAAATAAAGGTAAATGTTTTTAATTGATTCAGGACAACAAAGCAGCCACAACAACACCTGAGAAACACTTCCAGAACGGCTTCAGAAAGTGGCAAGAATGATGGGATAAGTGTGTTCAAAGTGAAGGAGAGTATTTTGAGGGAGATTAATAGCAATGTGCCTTTTACTGTAATAAATTTTTTTAAATTTAAACATTCATTGTACTTTTCCATCATACCACACATGACAAATAACCTACTATGGGAAAAGAAGAACATTTTAGAAAATGTCTGTATCCTAAATAGGATGAGGAGACACAGGCCATCAACCAGTGACCCATAAGAATGTCAGGAAACCAAAAATTGGAAAATTTTTAAATGCTATTGGAGGCAGGAAAGCAAAATTGACTATGGTGTTAATCAAATCAGGCATTTGTAGGATGCATATCAGCTCTTTTTCAGGGCAATTTCATTACCTCTCCATGAATAGCTGTAATCACAGCTCAGCTTTCTCAAAACAAATTCACCTTTGTTTAGCTCTGTCTTCACTGTGCTGTGCTGTAATTCATTTAGCGTCTGTCTCTGTCCTAGACTGTGAACGCCTTCAAGGTGCCCTCATGAATTCCCTGTTAGAATTTGGGTCTGAAATGTACCCCAAGGCCTACATGCTAAAGGCTTGGTCCTCAGCCATGGCAGAACTGGGTGAGGACAGAGCTTTAAGAGGTGGGGCCAAGTGGGAGGAAGTTAGAGCCTTGGTGGATGTGCCCCTGCAGGGGTGAGGGGGACCTCAACTGCCTGTTCACCTTAAAGAAAAGCCAGTGAACACACACATCTTCACCCCCGCCTACCATCATATCCTGTGGCCAGTGTGCACTGAGCATGCGCTTCCCAAAAGTAGGAAATGAGATCTCAGTCAACCTTGCTTTCTTGTTTTTGTTTTTTAAAATCAGTATGGAAAACTCAGTTTGACCAAAATATCATAGAACATAGAGCTAAAGTCTGGGATATAGGGATAGAGCTAATAGGTATGGGATGAAAAAAAAAATTTTAAAGGACAGCAAGGCTTAGAAGATAAGCATGAGGGTGGCATTGAGTAAATAGTAAAGTGATGAAGTACTGAGAGAACTGAAGCAAGTTACAGTTAAGTGAGGAAATGTTCTTTGTCTAAGGTCACTCTGAAGCCGACAGCATAGATCAGAATACTTACATTTAACTGCTGTTTATCACAAGATCACTTTCCCTTATTCTCTCACTTCTCTTCTTTGCTCCCCCTTTTACTTCTTTCCAATTTTCATTTTTTAAAATCTTTATCCTGCTTTGGATTTGCCAATGACACCAACGATATAGCACTAGCTGATATAACAGATAAACCTCAAATTGTCTTAAAAATAGAAGTTATCCCTCAGGAAAGTCCCAAGTGATCAAAGCAGGCCTTCAGGCTTTCAGGGAGCACATCACGTTGGTCACATCCCACCAGCTAGAACGCAGTCACAGGGCCACTAACTGCAAAGGAACCTGGGCAACGGCGTCCAGCTGCGGCAGTGACAGGAGGAAAACAGCTTTGGTGAATAGCTCGCCTTCCTCTGGCACCCGCTCCAGGTCTTGCCGGCAACAGACAGCCAAGATCCACAGCACCACGAGCAACCCTCTCCTCCCTTTCTCACCCACTGAAAGAAGCTGATGGAACTGGGAAAGAGTAGATCCAGTTTCATAACCTTGGGTCACAGCCTTGTGAAGGTAAACCGAGGCTGGGACTACTTCTGCCTCAAAGCCCTCTGTGCTATGCCACATTATTCTCCAACTAAAACGCTGAAATGAGATTATTGTCTGCCTTGTGATTACACTTAAAAGATCACACAGCTGCCACATCTTCAATAGAGTTCACCCTTTTGAGATATTTTTCAAGTGACGATGGGTTTTTGGAGTGATGGATTTATGCTGCTTCTCCTGAATTCTTTTCCATTTTTATTGTGTAGCTTGGCTCTGAACAGATCGCTCCAGCCGCCTGCGCAGGAACGGAGAGTGGCCGCCGACATCTCATTAGTAGCTAATACACATTTAAACAAACATGCGTTTCCAGTGCTCTTTAGACTGCACACTGTTAAAAGACATTTTAGAAAGTTTCATCTTCCCTACCTTTTGAACTGTGGAGACATCCATGGGATATGCCCATTTACAAATAATAGCTCCATAACTGTGCAAGAAATGTTGCTAAGAAATGTACGTGTCTACGTAATCCTCAGCACCAGCTAACGCGCTACGTATCACCAGGATTTAATTCCTGTGGATACTGAGGCACAGAGAGGTTAATCAACTTGACTCAAGAGTTGAGCAATGAAGAAAATGAAACAGGTCGGCCTACTAAGGAGTGAAAGGCTCCAGTAATTTTCCCAGGGTTCAAGTCCACAGGTTCCATTTATTGTTCTGTTTTTGCCATAGGCTAGTCCTTATTCTTCAAAACATTTTAAATTGAGGCTTTCCTGACATACCCTGTTGGTTCCCCGTAACCTCCTTAAATTTCACGTGAAAATGTTGCGTTTGTAAATCTTAGGGCCTAGTGTTTCACGAAAAAACCTCCTTGGTACTTAAAGCATGAGGCTAAAAACTTCTATGTTTCCCAAAATAAACCTGTCATTTATTTATGCAAAGAAATTCCTTAACTTCCGCTAAGACAAAAGGCATTAGTTCTAGATATATATTTCAGACATTAAAGAAATATCCATTTCCAATTTTTAAAATACTTAACCTAGTACCTTCTGTCAGATTTCTGGTACCTACAACAAAACCGTGAAGAACTGTAAAAAAAAAAAAAAAAAAAAGCTTTTGAAATATTGTCATCTTAACTGGGTTACTCCCTGAAAGAATTTACTTGGGAGTCAAAGCAAGTTAACTTCAAAATATCAGAAATAAAACCTCGATTGATTTGTTCATCCATTTAGCCTCCTATGAATCTGAGAAAACTTGAGGGAAAATAAAAACACAGAAATCGAATTGGTCACCGGAACGTGTGGGTCTATACTATCTAGCCAGCTGTCATTTCAGGACAAAAAAAAAAAAAAAAATGGTCATTTGTTCTGCGGTCCAGACATTGTATCCATCAGACAGAAGATAGTTCGGGAGGATGAGGACTCATTTTTGGGTCTGCTGGGGATGAACTAAATCCTCTAGAAAACTTGAGGCTGAATTCCTGAGGTTCTTTGTCAAGCTGCGCTTGGGGCAGGCTCCTAGCAGGTGCTCAGGAAAGATGTGTTGGAAACCTCAGGGTGTTTACACAACAGGGCAGTAAGCGTTCCGAGTTCTCCGGACCCTTTCCGCAAGGGGTTCTGCAGGTCGAGCGCTAGGCTCGGCTCGGCTCGGCTCGGCACGTTAAAGGGGGAAGGGGCAGACGAACGCGCCTCCTCGAGCTTCCTTCCGCCGACTGGGCGGAGGCCCCACCGTCCCAGCACCTGCAATTTCCGCCCTCCTCCTCCCGCTTCAGCTTGCGGCGTGGGAAGGACGTCGCCCCGCAACCCTCGCCTCCAGGAGTCGCAGAGGTCGGCGCTTTGTTTTTTAAATCACTGCACTAGGTCTCCGAGTGACCCCCCAGAACGAGTCTGAGCACTCGAGATTCTCTTCCCACGACCCCCGCAGCCCCCACTCTAAAAGGAAACCACTTCGTTCCCGCCCCCCCCCCGGGCTCCCGATCGTGAAGCCGCGGCGTCACTCGGACCCCCGCGGGCCGGACGCCTCGCTCCGGTTTCGGAGCCTTAAAAAGGTCTAAGGCCGCTCCCCGCTCCGCCCCCGCCACCGGCCCAGCAGGTGAAGCCGCGGGGCCGGGGCGACAGGGGGCGCACCCCCACCCAGCCCCCTTGTAAAACTCGGGTCGCCTCGCCGCCAGCCCGCTGCCCCCGGCGGCCCCGGGCAGTTTCCCTTGCGGGGCTCAGAGAGCCGGACGCCGGACGCGGGGAGGATTTGCAAAGTCCCGGATGTGACTGAGCGGAGCCCCTGCGGGAGGGAGCGACTGGCGCCGGCGCAGAAGCCGAGCGGGAGCGGAGGTGGGGGTGGGGTGGCTTCCTCCCCGCGGGCTTCGAGGAAGCGCGAGCCAGTGGCGGTTAAAGGGGTGTGGGGACCCGAGGAAAGGCGAGGAGGAGGGACAGAGGCGGAAAGGAGCACACGTCCTGCCGGGGTGCAGTCGGGAGCGGGCACCCAAGTTGCGACCCGAGACGGACGGGTGGGGAGGGGCGCTCCTCCGCTCGCCTCCAGCGCGGGCGGGCTGGGTGCGCACGCTGGGGAGCGGCGGTTGCGCGGCGCCCCGAGTGCTCTGGGCACCAATCAACGGTTGCCATAGCAGCGTTTGACGTCATCGTGCGTGTGGTGCCCCTGCTGCCGGGGCTGGTGATTGGAGGAAACCCCGTGTCTGCGGAGCGGCTGTAGCCTGTGAGCAGCGAGATCCAGGGACAGAGTCTCAGCCTCGCCGCCGCCGCCGCTCAGAGACCACTTCGCCCGTCCATCCGCCGCCACCCACCGGGAACACAGGTAAGGCCCCAGCCGCCGCCGGTGAGGGAGCCGTCGCCCCCCGCGCTCCCAGCCCCGCTCGCCCTCGGCAGGGGCCGCCTCCCGCTGGGGGCTTCCGGACCGACGCCCCGGCTCCGGTGTGAGGCGCCCACGCGCCGGGGTCCGAGGCCCGCCGGCTCGCGGGAGGGCGGAATGGCCGAGGCCCCGGCCGGCCCCGCTCCCGCCCGAGGTAACGACGCGGCGG